CTTTGGAGGCCCAAAGTATAAAAGTGGCACATGGAACAAGGCTTTAAATAGGGCTGTGCTCAAAATATCAATACAGCAATATACTGTGCATATTGTATATATTAATATACAAGAATATAATTCCTTGCTGATACGCGTAACGATACGCATGCTTCTGTATTGATACAGCAGCAAATGCAGTGATGCACTTTTGAAAAATTTAAATGTTAAAGATTTTTTTCTTTGCACCTCTTAATAACTCTGGAATTAGAAACGGAATTGTATTACTGATATTATAATATTGTTGTTGTTGTTTTATTATTATTATTATTACTGAGTTTACAAGGTATGGTGGTTTTGCTGTTGCTGATGTAGAAAAAAATATTTCTGTCATATTTAAAAAAGAATTCTATTCAAATCCTGTTCTGAATGTATTCATATTTTGAATGATTGATAAGTATAATTCGGAGGATGAGGAAATCAGTATAAGCCTGTTTTACCAGTGTTGTGATCATTATTTTTAAGGCACTCTACGGTTTTTAAATAAACACTGTAATAATAATAGTATGAATTGTTTTTAGTCAGATAACATAAAAAAGTTATATTATTTTATTTTAATTTTAGTTAAAGGTTTAGTGCTTTTCTCTTTTTTTATTAGTTTTATATTTATATACAGATATGTATATACATGAATATAGTTTTTCTAAATTTTTTGTTTCATTTTCAGTTTTGGTTTAATATATCAGCTTAAGCTAAATGAAAATGAGAAATGCTTCCTTGCCAACTAGCTCAATGTGAATACATACAGTACATACATATACATACATATTTTATTTGATTGCAGTTAGCGCTGATTTTATTTCAAGTAATGAAAATCTTTTTTTATGGTTTTAGTTGTAGTTTTTGTTGGCTGTAATAACCCTGAGTGTTTCTGGTGAGTGCTTGCTGTCAGTGTTGGGCTTCATTCTCAGGACCTCAGCCATGTTCTTGACTCACAGTATCAAATCAGTCTATTCCCAAGGTGCCCACATGCTTTTTTGGGGTGTTTTTACCATAATAGGGCATGAGGAGATGTAGATGCACTTCCTGTGGGAGGATCTTTTTTCCTTTCAGTGATACAACTACATTCTCTTTCTCTCTCACACACTCTCTATCCACTGTGTTTCTATCATTTGTCCTTCTTGCAGTTTCTCAAATGTGTTTATTTAAATCAAGAAAACCTTGAGGAGGTGCACTGTGTGTCCACGCATAGCATGCAACAATAACAGCAGGCAATAAATGTGCTTTTTCCAAGCTGCATGGAAGAAATTAAAGATTAAACATTAAAAGTTAACGTTTAAAGTCACCCCTCTCTATACAAAACCAATAGAGTAAGACGTTTGAAAGATGTCTCTTCTGCTCACCAAGGCTGCATTTATTTGATTAAAAATACAGTAAAAACAGTAATGTTGTGAAATATTTTTACAATTTAAAATAGCTGTTTTCTATGTGAATATATTATAAACTATAATTTATTTCTGTGATGCGCAGCTGTATTTTCAGCATCATTCCTCCAGTCTTCAGTGTCACATGATCTTCAGAAATCAGTATAATATGCCGATTTGCTGCTCGAGAAACATTTCTGATTATGATCAATGTTGAAAACAGTTTATATGTTTGTAGAAACTGTGTTACATTTTATTTTTCGGGATTCTTTGATGAACATAAAGTACAGAAGAACTTATTTGCATTTATTTGAAATATAAATCATTTGTAACATTATAAATGTCTTTACTGTCACTTTTGATCATTTTCAAGAAAACCTTGAGGAGGTGCACTGTGTGTCCACGCATAGCATGCAACAATAACAGCAGGCAATAAATGTGCTTTTTCCAAGCTGCATGGAAGAAATTAAAGATTAAACATTAAAAGTTAACGTTTAAAGTCACCCCTCTCTATACAAAACCAATAGAGTAAGACGTTTGAAAGATGTCTCTTCTGCTCACCAAGGCTGCATTTATTTGATTAAAAATACAGTAAAAACAGTAATGTTGTGAAATATTTTTACAATTTAAAATAGCTGTTTTCTATGTGAATATATTATAAACTATAATTTATTTCTGTGATGCGCAGCTGTATTTTCAGCATCATTCCTCCAGTCTTCAGTGTCACATGATCTTCAGAAATCAGTATAATATGCCGATTTGCTGCTCGAGAAACATTTCTGATTATGATCAATGTTGAAAACAGTTTATATGTTTGTAGAAACTGTGTTACATTTTATTTTTCGGGATTCTTTGATGAATATAAAGTACAGAAGAACAGCATTTATTTGAAATATAAATCATTTGTAACATTATAAATGTCTTTACTGTCACTTTTGATCATTTTAATGCATCATTGCAGAATAAAAGTATTCATTTCTTAAAAAAAAAAAAAATCTTACTCCGTTCAAACTTTTAAACAGTAGTATATATATATATTATTTAAGCTACTGAACCTCTAAGCAATCAAATGTTTCATCATGAGACTCTTGTACTGGAGCAGATCTGTCACTCATTGCTGCTGGATTACCACAGTTGTTGTGTTTTGTGTTGCACAAGGCTTTTAAAAATGTTATCATTCATTAGTGACTGTATTTTAAGACCCAGCAGCTGTTAGGTTTCCCCAGACTGGAGAAAGTCCATCATCATAACTCTCACCTGTCTGAGCTGAGACCCTCTAGACCCTCCAGACCATTGCCATCATCTGCCCCATGATCATTGGTAAATATCCTCTCCTGTTTAATGTCAGATATGTCATTCTCAAAACTGAAGAGTGATGCAGATTTGATGCATTTAAGGAATAATGTACAGCCAGTCATTATTTCAAAATGAACCCTGGTTTTGAAAATAGGATGATCAGGATGAGTGTCTCGTATCATCCTGAAAATATTTATTTTGTCATAATGACTGACTCATTAGACATGGTCATGCTAATTATATAGCAAATTACCATTTAAATAAATCAATAAATAGACATGGAATATTGATCTGAGTTGATTATGTGAGAATAAAGAGAGTATAGAGAGATACTAAAGACATTAAGCACAGCTACTAAATCATCAGTTGCCTGGGACAATTCATATTCATTCTATTATTCAGAATAAATATCTATAAAGTATTAGCTGTATATCAGTCCTGTGTGAATAATGGGGTCATTCCTCATGAACACAGCAGCAAACAATTCAGATTTGCGCAAGCATTCTCATCTCAGACTTTTCCTTGGCTCTGAATTCAGCTTTTTCCATTTTGTCCTTTTTTTCCACTTCCTCTCAAGCAGCCAGACTAACCCTGCTATTAACACTGAATCAAACACATGACTGTAGATCAAACTGCATGAGAACATCCAGGAAACTCTACTGGTTGGGAAGATGACAATGATTTTTTTAAATAATTTTTTTTTAAATTTATTTAATAATATGTAAAATGTATTTATATCCAATTACATTTAAAATGATAACTTTTTATAATATTAAATTAAAGTCTAAAATTTTACATGAGATTTTTGTCCAAAATGTGCATGTTTTGTTTTTAAATGAACATTTAATAATACATTATATGTAATATATAAATTACATCCCATTGTCACTGTAAAAAAGAAATTCGTAAAATTTACGGTAAAAAAACAGCAGCTGTGGTTGCCAGAATTTTACCGTAAAAAATACGGTAGCAATGTTTTAGGTTTTACGGTTTTAACTTAAACTTACAGTTAAATACCGTAATTTCATTAACTGATATAATGTTAATATACCAACCTATTGAAGTACTGAAATCTGTTTTGTAGCTTTGTAATACACTGATAACCACCAAATGCAGGAGGTGATGAGAAAGTCACATGATGAACCAAAGCCCATCACAAGCAGCTTTTAAATAATAACATATATAGAAGGTGCACAGTGTCATTCACACAAACACTAAACACCATCACGGTAACACACATGACACCGAAATAATGCAATAAACATTCATTTAACAACATTAGGTGTAACACACAACCCTAATATACAAAACTGATAAGAAAAAAATAAGAAGAAACAGTTATTTCAACAAAAAAACATCAAATTTGAAATGTAACGCAGGGAATTCTGGGAATGTCAATTTACGGTTATTCACTGTAAATTATACGGTCTTTTTCACTTCCAAAAACTGTATACTACCGTAAAATGACATGTAATGTCCAATACAGTTTTTCACCGTATATAGTAGGGGAATTTACTGGCAGATATTACCATTTACCAGGTTTTTACTGTAGCATTTTTACGATCTTTTACCATTAAATTCACGGTCATTTATATTTTTTAATAATACAATTTTTTTTTTGTGTTACATTAAATTTTGTTTACATATTTAAATGTTCTAAATTAATTATTTAATAATAGATTATATAAACTATATCCCCTTGTGCATTTATTTATTTTAACCACATAGAGTTTTTTGTGCTAAATTAATTTTTTTGTTTACATATTTAAATGTTCTAAATTAAATATGTTTTAATTAATTAATCCATTACGAAACTAACCACATAGATATTTGAGACATTTTGTGATATTTCTGATTGAAACAGGACACTCAATGATGAAAAATACAGTGTGAGTTATATTATTTATTATATTGATTAAATCATGACAAATGTGGGTTAAATACCAGAATGTTGATAAAAGAGACTGATGAGGAAATTCATTTTAGAATCAGAGCAAGTGACTGTAATTTGATAAACCACTAAGACACTTTTGTACATTGTTATTTTTTGTGTGCATTGATATATCATTCAAACTAAGACCAGGACTGTGTTTTGAGGAAATAAACAGGGTCAGTTTGACTTGTTTAATGAGGCATGCATGCGGAGCCACTAAACCCTCTGAAGCACATCTTGCTTCATGTACTCGCTCCAAATAAGGGAATCGGCTGACTTTGAGATGTTCTGTGGGTAAAAGGTTTGCTTGAGGAGGGGGAGCTGCACATTTCGGTTCTTGTGTGTGTGTGTGTGTGTGTTGAGGAAGGGGTTCATACAGGGGAGGAGGAGGCCACCAGGGAAAGAGACTCATCTCCTCCACCTCAGGTTTAAACCATCGACAGGAGCGTCTCGTTTCAGTGTGGACTCTCTCCCTCCCTCTCTCTGGTGTCACTCGACCTCCTCATCTGACGAGGAAAAGCGCTGTGATTCCTCTCTCTCTGTCTGACTTTGCTCTAGATCCCGGCGCTCTCGGTTTCCTCTTCGTTCTCTCTCAGGTAAGAAACTCCAAGAGCAGATAGAGCAGAATGGAGGCCATTAAGAAGAAGATGCAGATGCTGAAGCTGGATAAGGAGAACGCAATCGACCGGGCAGAGCAAGCCGAGTCTGATAAGAAGGCAGCAGAAGACAAGTGCAAACAGGTGAGACACGCATGTGAGACTGATGACTAGAACTGATGGAGAGTTCAGTGAGACGATCCTTACAGAAAGAGCTTGTGGTGCCATTGTACAGTGATGCTATCAGATGGTTTTACTTTCATATATGTTATTTAAAAGTTTTGACACTTTACTGAAATTAAATTTTTCATGATTTTTTAAATGTTTTACTCTTAAGACTACTATTTAACTGCTTAAAATTTGTTTTGTATTGGAAAAAAATCTAAAATCTATGTTGTTACTTTAATTAATATAATAATTAATATAAAAATATATAGCTTTAATTAAAGTAACAACATAGATTTTAGATTTTTTCCAATTTCTGATTGAAACTGGATACTATAAATTGGAGGAAAATATAAATTGTGTTTTTTTTTTTACAAAACTAAGATTATTATTATTATTGTTATTTTAAATAAGGAAAGTTACAAACAAGTGTCCAGTGCAGTGTTCTTTCTTCAGTAGTTTAAATGCATCCCAGGATGAAACTCATGAAGTTGGCTGATGAATGTTCAGAGTGAATAGTGCTACGTTTTGATCATTACATCATTCCTAGACTTCCATTTGTGTTATTTCAGTTTTATCACATTACTGTTGTTCTAAAATGTGGATAAACTGGCCAGTTTACCTGAATTCACCCTATGTAACATGCTTAAATTAGGGACCTACACCTATAAAGTTCCAATGTTTTTATGTATGTATGTATTTATTTATTATATTTTATTTTATTTCATTTTTGCAGTGATGCCATTGAAGAACCATGTTGGTTCTTTCAGTGAACAGTTCACTTTCTTCTAAGTGTGAAGAACATTCTAATAATCTAAAGAACCTTTTTCCACTATAAACAACCTTTTTTTCTGTGGAATGGAGAGATTCCATGGATATCAAAGGTTCTTCATGAAACCATCAGTGCAAACCTTTATTTTTAAGAGTGTAGCAGCCAAAGAAATCTCTAAATGTAAATAATTCTCTATATTTTTTGCAATATTGCATTTGACTAAGGGAAACGGAAGGAGGGAGGATTGGTTCCCAGACATTCTGGGCATCCGCGAGGATAGTGAGGGCTATAGGGAGCACAGGAATAATCCAGAATTATATATATGCCATATGCCAGCTGTTTCTCTGTGTTTGGAGTTGTTTACGGCTCTCTGGAGTGCAGCATCTCACAAATCTCTCAACATCCCCAAACATTCCAGAGATACAACATGTCTGAATTCTAAACATTTTCATTTCCGTCAGTGAGCTAATCTTTACATGGATGCCTGGAAATGTTTGAGTTTGCCTATTCCATGTCAAAATCCTTACTACAGTCGTTTAATAGCCTTAACCTTCCATGTGATCTTGCCCTTCCACATAAGGTTCTTTATATAATAAGGTTTGTATTTAGATTTAGATTTGTAAAATGTTCTTCACAAAGACAAAAGTGGTTCTTATAGGAACTGTTCACTGAAAGGTTCTTTGGGGAACCAAAAATGGTTCTTCTATGGCAGGGATCCTCAAATCTGGCCCACGAGATCCACTTCCCTGCAGAGTTTAGGTCTAACCCTAATCAAACACACCTGAGCATGCTAATCAATGTCTTCAGGATCATTAGAAAATCACAGCTAGGTGAGTTTGATCAGGGTTGGAGCTAAACTCTGCAGCGCATTGGCCCTCCAGGGCAAGATTTGAGGAACCCTGTTCTATGGCATCACCTCTTTTGGAAACTTTATTTTTAAGAGTGAATATTTTTGCATTTAATTATTTTTCTTTATTGATAATTTTGACTAGTTACATATTTAAGTGTGATTATCTTTTTAACTATTTATGTTTATGTTATTTACTTTAACTCTGATCGTTGTATGCAGAATAGCAAGTTTTTGGGAGAAAAAAGGTCAAAATTGCATGTGCAATTCTGCACATTACAATGGAAATAAATAAAATAATTACAAAATGACATATTATGCAGAATGTAAGTGTTGATGATCAGAAGATTCCAGATTCTAGAATTAGAATCACACAAACAGAATTCCAGCTCAGTGATATGGACAAACACAGATCCGCTGCACATACATGTGTCAGATGGAACAGATCCTGTCAGTCTGACATATTCACACGTCAGTGATGTTTGAGCTTCAGCTGTGCAGACAGACGTCTCTGAGGACACGCGCATTGATCACAGTTTAATAATGCTGAGCTGTCTGATCATATTTATGGCATCGTTAGTGCAGATGGACTGTTAGCATGATCTGAAAATACACACGGCTCTCAAAACACTCACACACACAGGTTTGTTTTTGTGAAAAGTGGGGACATCCCATAGGCGTAATGGTTATTATACTGTACAGACCGCATATTCTATTGCCCTACACCAACCCTACCCCTAAACCTACCCCTCACAGGAGACTTTGTGCTATTTCAGATTTTCAATACACTCGTTTTGAAAAGTGGGGACATGGGGTAATGTCCTGAAAAGTCACCTTCTCCTTGTAATACCTGTCATACCTTTGTCATTATACAAATTGATGTCCTCATTTGTCACAAAAACGCACACACACACACACAGTACTGCCTCACCGAACCCTGCTGAAAGGCCTATGAAGATTAGACATTGATGTATGATATCACTTCATCTATCTATCTATCTATCTATCTATCTATCTATCTATCTATCTATCTATCTATCTATCTATCTATCTATCTATCTATCTATCTATCTATCTATCTATCTATCTATCTATCTATCTATCTATCTCCCTGTCTGTCTGTCTGTCTGTCGTTCTGTCGTTCTATCTATCTGTTAATCTTATGTTCTGTTATTGGTTTTTTAGCTAGAAGACGAGTTGCTTGCTCTGCAGAAGAAACTGAAAGGAACTGAAGATGAGCTGGACAAATATTCAGAAGCTCTCAAAGACGCTCAGGAGAAGCTGGAGCTGTCTGAGAAAAAGGCGACAGACGTGAGTATTCAAGCATTAGACACTGTTTATACAGATAAAATAATTTTTCTTCAATAGGACGTCAGTTTTCGGTTAAACACCATCATCAAAATCAAAAATGGATGTGATTGTAATAATGAGTCCCTTGCTGCTTTCAAATGCATGAGGCACCAGTAAATCTTGGCACCTGGTCAGGATGGTAAGGTTCAGACAGATTGTTCTCATTCCAACAACAAAAATGCTTTAATCATAGTGGGAGCATGTCAGCAGCCCCATGTGGAAAAAAATGGGAGGAAAAAGTTTCCCCGCATTCCTTTTCGGCTACCGCTGACAGCCTTGCATAAATGTCTTTCCCACTCATTCTGTTACCGGACGACCCAAAGACGTCAAACGTCTTCAGTGTGCAATTTTCTAGCAAGGCTTACTTGAACTCATCAGCTTTTTTTTTCTTTTTTAACAAAACAACCTCGGAAAGCTGTGGAATCCGGGCTCACATGCAGAGGAAATGGATATTTAGGGTGAAAGCTACCTCTGAAACCCACAGGGAGAAAATCCAGACCGCAAAGCATGAGAGCGGAGCTGCACAACCGAGAAACATTATAAAAAACTGTCTGGACGTGACGTCCACCGTCCCAGAGCTGCATTCTTTTATCGTATATTATATAGCAGTGTATATATATAGTGGTCCTTAACGTAAGGCCAGGGGGTCCGTATAAAGTATGAATTTTTGTGACATGTTCCCATGAAAGAAAAATCCACTATAGCTGATGATATGGCCAAATCTGGACAAGTCAACTAACTTGAATTATACTTGACTACATTTGGTCCTCACAAAGACACAAATGATACATAGATGAGTCAGTGTTGTTCTGGGGGTCCTTGAGGATGGTTCTGAATTGGACTGGGGTCCGGTACGCCAAAAGGTTGAGATTCACTGGTATATAGCATAGTACAAATAATTAAAACTCATTAAACCCTACCATTAAAACACTTTTATTGAGCAAGGATGCGTTAAATTGATTAAAAGTGACAGTAACGACATATATGAAGTTACAAAATATTTATATTTCAAATAAATGCTATTCTTTTTAACTTTCTATTCCTCAAAGAATCCTGAAAAAAGTATCAACGTTTCCACAAAAATATTTGTTAGCACAGCTGCTAACAACATAATAATCAGAAATGTTTCTTGAGCAGCAAATCAGCATATTAGAATGATTTCTGAAGATCATGTGACACTGAAGACTGGAGTAATGATGCTGAAAATACAGCTGCGCATCACAGAAATAAATTAGAGTTTAGCATATATTCAAATAGAAAGCAGTTCTTTTAAATTGTAATAATATTTCATAATATTACTGTTTTTACTGTATTTTTGATCAAATAAATGCAAAAAAAAAATCTTTCCAAATATTATTCCAAACTTTATATATTATATTTACAGTACATTTACACGATGCATTTGGCAGATGCTTATATCCGCTGCATGTTTTCATTGCATGGAAATTGAAGATAAATGCCAAAACACAGACAACAGTTTAAAGTCATCCAAGAAGCTTGACGACAAAAGATGCCTCCTTTTGTCAATAACAGAATGCATTGTTTTAAATATAAATATTGTTTCAAATATTTAATGCTAAAATTTTAGATAAAAACAGTTGTTTTCCTATTTTACCCAATATTTGTTATGCTGATTAAAATATGACGCCATTAGCTTGGCAACATCCAAACCTTTATTCAGTTATGTTGGAATTGAAATGATGCTGCCTTAGTAAGTAGACAGCAAGGCAGCTCAGGCTTTGGAACAGAAATATTATTTTTATCTTTAGATGAACTATTTCTTTTAGATTATAAATAAGCAGTCTGAATACTGACTTAGCCCAAGCTATAAAAATACTGAAAGTTTGTTTCTATTTCATTATGTGGACAAAAAAAAAAAAGATGTTCTTAAATTAGATCATTACAGCACCGTCTCACAATTTGTGTAATATTTCTATACAAGGCAACAGTATAGGTCTGTGCAGAGCATGAAGTTCACTTCATTCCTTTCTTTTCACTCACAATCACACACACACACACACACACACACACAGACACACGCACAGCCCAGGAATGTGAGGAATTCAACTAAGCAAACAATAAACCTTCAGCTCTTGAATCTAATGAATCCAACTCTTCTGCTGGGGGAAACACACACACACACACACACACTCAAGCATTTGCAAAATACTCCCGCACATGCTGGAATTCACTGAATGGAATACAAATGGTATTGTGATAGCGTTATGTCATTTATTAGGCAGTGAACTGTTTCAAAAAAGTTGAGTCACTCAAGGCTTTGCATCTCTTAACCATGGTAAAATCACCTCGAACTGTTTCTTTTTCCAAAATGGTGGGTAAAGCACTATGATAAAACAAATTAATGCATTTATTAAAGGGGTCATATGATGTTGCTAAAAAGAACATTATTTTGTGTATTTGGTGTAATGAAATGTGTTTATGCGGTTTAAGCTTCATAAAACACATTATTTTCCACATACTGTACATTATTGTTTCTCCTCTATGCCCCGCCTTTCTGAAACACGTAGATTTTTACAAAGCTCATCGGTCTGAAAAGCGAGGTGTGCTCTGATTGGCCAGCTATCCAGTGCGTTGTGATTGGCCGAATACCTGAAGCGTGAGACGGAAATGTTACGCTCTTACCATATTGTGATGCCTTGTCCCGGCCAGAGTGACGAGACAAAAACATGAAAACCCATTATAAACGACCGGCATTGTAGTCTACTCTCCCAGGATCAGGAAACAGTCCTCCATAAAATGTGCTGCACACATCTGAATATTTGGGTTGAAGTGTTCTGGAACAGTGTTGTAAATACAACTTAACCACTGATTTGTAGTCGTGTCCTCTTTTGGAAGACCAAACAAAGTAGTTTCGTTTTCACAACGAAACACACAGCGCCTTCACGACATGGCGGCGGCAGCAACAACAATACTACAGCGAGACTAAAAGTTACGCCTTCTTTCTTTGCGTGAACATTTGGGCGGCGTTATGCAAATCTTCCCCCACAGTGACGTAGACATGTGGGGGCGTGTTAGAACAAGCCGTTTTAGGTAGGCGTGCTTGACTCTTAACTTTTATAAAGAATATCTCTTTGGATTTGAGACTTTAGTCTTTGCAACTTTACAGATCTTCTTTATGCACCAAGAGCTTGTAACACTCCAAAGAGAAAGGAAAAATTTAAATCGCACCATTTGACCCCTTTAATAATAAGTGGAGTAAACAATTTTTCTGGCAAGTAATGCAGTTCATTAGCCTGACTATATATGCTGCCATACAATGGTGCATTAATATAAAATGGGCACTCATTGGTGTGTGTTTAGCACATTAGTTCTTCCAGTGTGGCTCAAGCAATCAGAATGCGGAGTCAGAACTATCTTTTTATATACATTAACTGAGCCAGACAATAGATGTATTTCTGCTTGGATGTTGTGAGAATGTGTTTCCAAGCACAGCGTATGAAATTCATCAGCATGCAGTCAGATTGTGCCACCCCATAACTGCTGTGAGAGGGCCAATAATTACAACAGCACGTCCTGCTCAAGAATATGTGCTGAAGAACACATGGAGACCCTTACAGTGTGTATGAAGAAGCTGTTGAAGTATTTGAGCTGCATGTGCATGTGTGAATACTCAGGTGGAGATCTGCTTAAAAATATTGTATACATGTTTGTTTGTGTGTCTACCTATAAATTACAGATGTGTGTGATTTTAAATATGATATAAAATAGGTTGGCATGTCATGGGCATAATTTTTTTTGTTTTGTTTGAGGCTAACAAGTTGGTATATAAGCACTACAACAACTGTCTGACTCGCTAAGCATGTTAACTCACATCATGATAGTTAGTCTGTATTTAACTTGTTTTTCGTTTGTTTTTGAAAAAAAAAAGCTTCTTTAAAAATCACATTTAGGATCTGATTTTTTGACATTTATTGTGTAACAATACATTAAAATTGGCCATCATTTATATATATGTATGTGTGTGTGTATTTAGCATAAATAAATATATATGTGTTTAGCATATATAAAATGCTAATTACTATATAAATTAAAATACAATTATATATGCCTATATATTTGTCATGATTGCTATGCAATCTGCCTTAGAAAGACAATTGAGCCATTTCGAAGTAAAATGCAAATTTAAATTGTCTGTCATTTCCACCACATAATGCTATTAAACTTCATGATAATGTGATATGATGGTGTAGAAAGTGCTGTAATGTGCATGACGTTTCAGAAAAATTACAGAATTTTCATGTGATGCATGTAATGTTCACTGTTTAACACTATTAGTGAATAAATGCATTAAACTAGTGTGAAAAGTAGTCGTTTATTTCCCGAGCACAGATGATTTTACGCACTCATATCTCAACATTGCTGCAATCACACATGGTCATTCATATAAGAAACACCAAATAAGTCAGCACATAATAGCAGCAGAAGTCAAACAGGAACACCACCCCCTGATGTCATCTGAAACCCGCATCTTCTTCCTGGGATTGGACTTCTTTTTTTGCGCATTCCTGCCCTTTTTCCAGAATTCCTCATTCTGCGGCTCCGCGAATTCGAGACGCGCAATTGGAAAGTTTGCGACAGTTTTGAGACGCACAGAAGTTGCTCCAAATCTGCGGTCTTGATTTCTTTATAAATTCGCTTTTGCAGCCGGATTCTGCCTCTAGATCGCTCGGGTGGTTTGTGTGAAGGTTTGGGGATGTCTGTGAAGTCTTTAGACGCCGTGAAGAGGAAGATCCAGAGTCTGCAGCAGCAGGCGGACGATGCGCATGACGGAGCGCAGTTTCTGCAGACGCAGCTGGACAATGAACGAGACCTGCGGGAGAGAGTGAGGAAACCTTCTTACCTTCCCATCCTCTTTCTTTCTCTGCTGCTTCTGTCTGATGCCTTTCTCTCGTTTCTGTGCACGCTGAACAGAAGACCGGGGCTAGTTGTCACACTTTCGTGAATGTGTCTCATGGTATTGTAGCGTGATGCTGCACCGGGGCATGTTGTCACGCTGCATGTGCATCGCACTAAAAGTCCAGTTGCACAATCTGATAAATTTTTTTTGTGAATCTCATCTTCAAAGCAATTTTTTTTTTACTAAAAGTCCAGTTGCACAAATGTTTTAACGGTGGTTAAAATCAAAGTATTTTTTGTGAATTTTATCATCAAAGCAAAAATTGTAATAGGTGAGAACGGGGCTAGTTCTCACATTGAATATTGAATATGGATATTATTCAGATTATATGTAATTTGGCGCCATAGCGGGGCATGTTGTCACTACAACAGTGAATTTTTGCCTTTTAATAGTTCATTATTTATACCCATAACTCAAATAATAAGCACAAAACAAAATATAACATACAGAAATGTCAAAGCATTGCTTGGCTAACAAATATTGTGATGAATAAATTGTAGGCTATAACATTTAAAACACGTGACGACTTAAATATCGTTGTTTTAACAACACATTTTATGGTTTAAATTAAAAGCTACCTTCATGAAGGTTTAGAAACCCCTGCTAGAGAAAACAAGCATTTGTGTAATCAAGGCAAAATGTCACTTGTGTTTTATATTTTGTAATTTTATGTAATTTTCGTTTTCATTTATTTCTGGTGGGTTTAGTTCATTTTTTTAATTATATTTTTTTAAATGAATGGTTTTGTGTTTCATAATTGCTTTACTGTTTACATTTAGCTGAAAACGATGTTGTTGAAGAAGGCTGTTATATGCAAATAAGTGTCAATAAGCAGCAGGCTTCCGTTGTGACAACTTGCCCCATAGTGTGACAACATGCCCCTCTTTAGTTAACCTGTGTTAAATGAACATTTTTGTTAATTTTGTGTAATATATAACAGAATTACATATATTATATTTATAAAATATATAATAAAGATGTATTAAGTTATTTATTATATATATAATATTAAATATTTTGTGCTGTTATATAATATTTAGTATAATATAAAAAATGTATTTAATAATATATGATTTTTTTTTAAATAATTTTATTTTTATTTTAAAATATATTTTTTATTTTGATATAATATATAATGTATATATACTATCTAATTATTACATAATTATTAAATAATAATATATATATATAATATTACAATAGTATTAATATTTGTATAATATAATTTATAAGTCTAATTCTAATTGATATAATATTTTTATAATATAATGAGTATAATATAATATTTGTATAATATAATTAAAATATTACTTTATTTTATTATAATTATTATAATTGTTATTATTATTAAAATATATTTTATTATTTATTTTAAATATTAAAATATTTTGTATAATGTATATAATATATATAAATAATATATTATATATTATATATATATAAATATATATATATAACATTATACATATATGTTATAATATATATAAATATAGATTTGATATATTATATAATATATGACAATTTATAATATTACATTTTATATTAATTTGTAATGAATTTAGAATATGTTTGGTTTTTTAAGAGGTAAAACTGACCTCTAATATAGCAGCCCAGCAGCCCCTTTCCTGGAAACCGCTGTCGGACAGTTAGTCTGGGACATGACGTTCTTCACATTCTCACTTCCTGTCTTATTTGTTGCAGTCTGCTTTCACCCAACATGTGTCTCTTAGAAAAACATGACCCAGATGCCTTTTCTTCCATATACAGTAGCTTTGGAAAGCAGATCCAAAACATCAGCAGATGCAATGGTCTGAAATGACTGTACTGCAGGAGACTCAAAGCTCAGTCTGTGATCTGGTTCCTCATCTCAGCTGAAATGAGACACATTTATGCTCACCAGTAAAGCATCAGCAGTTATTTAATTGATCGGCTATTCCTCCTATCTGTGTGTCTGTGGAGCAGCACACAGGGTTAATTCAAAGTATAATATTGATATTTGTGCATTAAAAACCAAGAAGCTGTTTTCCAGGCAGCTTTGCCACTTTTAAAGACTCATAATGGCATGATAATCAGATGCATGTTTGAGCACCTTATAAGGCTGAGGCCCACTATGTACTGTGTAATAGGAAGTGAGCGTGGCCAGAGGAAAACTCTCATTCAAACGAGTGAATCTGAAAGAATCTGCTTCACATGTGCTTAGATTTCTCTTTGTGTGTTAAAACTACTGGTTTCTTAGAGTTTAAACAGTTATTTTACCTAAAAATGAAAGTTTTCTCCCTTAGTATCAGTTTTTATTAGTATTTTGAATTTGTTTTTGTTTTTATTTTTATATTTTTGTTTTCATTTTATTCTTAGTTAAAGGTGGGGTAAGTGATTTCTGGTAGCCAATGTTGACATTTGAAATCACCAAAACAAACATACCCCCACCCCAAAAGGGTCTCGCCCCTATTTTGATAGCTCCGCCCCACACATACGTACGCAACCCAGGCAACGATTAGTTCTGTGAAACAAAGAAAAACCAATGTTACACCATGTCTACACCGGACGTGAGTGGCGCGTGCGACAAAATACTATAGAACTCATTATAATCAGTGATGCTGTCTACACCATAGATATATGTACACATATGGCACGACACGACAAATCCCAGACAGAAAACTGCTGCTGCGTTCTATTCATGATGTATTGACACAAATTTCAAATGATTTTCAACGCTCGCTTTGTCGCGTCCAGTGTACTAGACAGACTTTAGCTGCTGTGGCGCAGACATTGACAACTCTACAAAGCACTACAAGTGCGTCGATATGAACACTCGTTTAAGTGGCGTACACACTGGTAAATTTGACTGCATATCACATTTTTGAAATGATCGAATGTAGCTGATCAATCTCAGGGGCTTGGGCTGGGTCCGCTAGGCATACTTGTCTCCGTGCTCGTGCTGGAGCTGGTTCACTTATGTTGGTGCTCGTGCTGGGGCTGGTGTTGGATGCCTATTTTGTAAAGTATTTGCTGGGATGGGCATTTTAAAAAATCTGAAATTTGCTTTTGCGCCATTATCTCCTTGTATTAAAGTTAATCTTGTTCTCATTCTGTACAGTTCATGTCTGATACCACGCGCTAGCGTCACGTGTTCATGAGGATTAGGCTAATCATCCCATATAGAAAACATCACAAGTAAAATTAATCATGTTTATAAAGATAAACATGGGATTATTATAGCCCACTTACAATTTACATTTCAGAGATCATTACAAATAAATTATTAAATGTTAAAACTGAATAAATTTAAATGAACAAACTTGCCATTGCATTTGCAACCATGTGAAAACAGGGGGTGCTGCAGCCCCCTCAGCACCCCTACTTCCCACGTCCCTGGAATTGCGAGATGTAGACTTGCAATTGCGAGAAAAAAAGAGTCAGAATTGCAAAATTCTGTCGCAATTACCTTTTTTATTTTTATCCAGCGGCGGAAACAAAATTCCATAATTTTTACTCATTTATTTACTTCGAACAAAAAAAACTTCATTTTTTTTAATAATGTAAACTTGTATCAGTATGGGTTTGTGGCCTGCTGGAAAATCCAGTTTGAAGTTTACATGCAACTGAGTTCAAAACCCATTTTACTTAATATTTTATAAACATGAATATAAAATGAGAAACTTGGGTCCATTTTTATTTAATGTTGCCTTTAAATTGGTTTCTTGTTGATTCAGTCTGGTTGTAAAACCTATATTAATGATGTGAAAATTAATGATTACACCGCATAAAATGATTTTCTTAGTATTTTTGTCTTGTTTTCTAGTACAAATGTCTAAAAATTCTTGAATCAAGCAAAATAACTTCAGATATTATGCAACAGGCTCATTCGAAATACATGCCTCTAATGTCTTGTTTTCTGAATAATTTATCAAAAGGTTGTTAGTTTTTCCTTAAAACAAGAACAAATATCTGCCCAGGGGATAGGATTATTAAAATGATTTTAATTCAAAGGGAAAACAATTATTGATACATTTTTCAGAAAACAAGACTTGATATCTCAAGTCATTTTGTTTCTCAGGTAAAATGATCTTGATTTAAAAGAATGTTTAGATATTTGTACTGGAAAACAAGACAAAAATACTAAGTAAGAAAATTATTTTTTTTTGCAGTGCATCACTGTATGATCAATACTGAAATGCAGAAAACTAGCTGCAAGCACAATAACACTTGATATTATTAAAATACTTGGTCAGGAACTCCCATTCAAGCGGTCAAGTTCTTTATTGGCATTGTTGGATGAAGAACCTTTCATTTCCATGCAACCTTTTATATTCCACAAAAGGGTTTTTTTTTAATAGTGGAAAAAAGTTCTTTAGATTATTCAAATGTTCTTCACACTAAGAAAAAACGTGGTTCTTTTAGAAACTGTTCACTGAAAGGTTCTTTGGGGAACCAAAAACTGTTCTAAACTTTTGAATCTGTGTTTTTACAGTAAAGGTGGAGATTTGGAGGAAGAACTGAAAAACGTAACCAACAATCTCAAGTCCATAGAAGCTCAGTCGGATAAGGTGAGTCAACTGACCGATGACCCATAATTCCACCGAGCAGAATTCATTTCTGTGTTAATTGTTCATAACACATTCTGATCTAAGCTGTTTGTTGAACTGAATGTGATGATGCATGTAAGTGCTGATTTGCACAGAAACTGGTTCTGCTAGTGTTTCATGAATGAGGCCAATTGTACTGAACATGAAGGAACTAGAACGCAGGAGTCTGGGAAATCTGATTCATCTTAGCGAACAAGTGCCTTTAGAAGGTTCATTACAGTGAGCTGGTTCAAAAAAAAAGTGTTACATGTGTTACATGAAGCTCCTGCACTTTAGTAGGAAATCAAATGTTTGCTAAATACTGTTGTTATTAATTACTATATTTCAAATGCAATTATATAATTTAAGGTGTTTTTATAAAACATGGAGGATTATAAAATAAACGGCTTTAATGGCTTTAGTGTGGTTTGATTGACTTGTAGTCTAGCGAACAACTTTTCAAAAGCATAATTTGACTGTAATTGAACTAAAAACAACTAATCAAACACACAGTTAGAAATGGTTAGTTGTATTTCGTAATAAACTACTTTTAGTTTATTGTCCTAATGCACAATATAAATGCTTTTATATACAGTGGGTACGGAAAGTATTCAGACCCCCTTACATTTTTCACTCTTTGTTATATTGCAGCATAAGTATAATCAGTATAATCAAACACAGCTGGACTCAAATGAAGGTGTAGAACCATCTCAAGGATGATCAGAAGAAATGGACAGCACCTGAGTTAAATATATGAGTGTCACAGCAAAAGGTCTGAATACTTAGGACCATGTGATATTTCAGTTTTTCTTTTTTAATAAATCTGCAAAAATGTCAACAATTCTGTGTTTTTCTGTCAATATGGGGTGCTGTGTGTACATTAATGAGGAAAAGAAATTAACTTAAATGATTTTAGCAAATGGCTGCAATATAACAAAGAGTGAAGAATTTAAGGGGGTCTGAATACTTTCCGTACCCACTGTATATCATATTACCATTTATATTAGGACAGTAAATTAATAGGCTTATGAACTTTTTAATGTGAGAATAAAATGCATCTAATTTATTTTTTCAAATTCTATGCAAATTCATCCACCTCTGGGTAATATGGCTAATAAAACAATATATTAGTGTTTGTTCAATGTTAAATCACACTTGTGCTGTTTATTTATATACAAAATTATAAACTTTTCTATTCCGTTCTAGTATTTTTTATTGCTGGGTCTGTGCATTTCATGATAATATCAATGCATTTCAATACTTTTAACATTTTATTTAACGTAAGCCATGCTGGTACCATGTTGGCACTTGATGTCCAGTGTGAAATCTGAGACCTGAAGAAAGACCAGTTGAGAACCAGTGATCTAAATAACCTTTTGCATGTCTTCTGTCTGTAGTATTCGGAGAAAGAGGACAAGTACGAAGATGAGATCAAAGTTCTCACTGATAGACTGAAAGAGGTGAGTGAGTTTAACCTAAAGCAGCTGTTCATTCTAATAGTTTTGCATGCAAGTCTTTCCTTCGTAGGTCAGATGCGTGACATTCAAGCCATTCTCTGAGCTTTTCAAATCCTTTTTTCTCTCTACGTTTTCCCCCGTAGATTGAGACTCGTGCTGAGTTTGCAGAAAGGTCGGTGGCCAAACTGGAAAAGACCATCGATGGCCTCGAGGGTAAGCTGTGATTGGGTCCTGAGGAATTCTAGCTGATGAGGTCACTAACACCGTCAGCTGCATTAGCCTTTGTCTCTTATGACCGTGTGCAGCGGCTTTATTTCTCTTTTCATTGTACTGAAAGAACAGAGCTAACGGTGTTAGGATCTTTAGCCTGTTTGACTCGTCTTTTTAAAACGTTTTTGCAAACACTTGGAGAAGATGAGTTGAAGCCGAATCGAACTTGTTTCATAATTGATGAACTTCGCAACATTGACACTGTTATTGAACTAAATTGAAAGAACAATGAACTAAATTTGGCTGAATAATGACACTATCTTCTGTAGAGCTCTTTATAGCTGAAATTAAATTTAATTAGTTTCATAATTGATTAATACTAAATAAAATGTTATAATAATATGCAGTATCTCACAGAAGTGAGTACACCCCTCACATTTTTGTAAATATTTTATTATATCTTTTCATGTGACAACACTGAAGAAATGACACTTTGCTACAATGTAAAGTAGTGAGTGTACAGCTTGTATAACAGTGTACATTTGCTGTCCCCTCAAAATAACTCAACACACA